TATTGAGCAAGATTGATATCAATCGGCATTCGACTATCATTTAAAGCCACTCGATCATTATTAAGCGTTAATATTATTAATTATTAGGCCAAAAAGACGCAGACAGTTTCGATGCAGTCATTAACTTTTTGAGGGAAACCAGTTTTGGCTACCACTCCTTTCTTCCATCACATCTACGCCCTTTTTCGGGTTGTAATCAAGAACTTACATCATACTATAAAAAGGTCCACTTCTGATATTTCTGAAGCTCTGGTCACCCTCGGACATATTGTCACGAGCAGTGGCGTATCTTGGGATTTTTTCGGGGGATGTCCTGACTTCTTACTACTTTATTTAATACTTTATCTCCACAAATATTAACATAGTTTCATCACGAATTCATACCTGATTTTAATATATCTTATAATACCTAATATAAATGGTAATTTTTTAGTAAAAAAAATCTTAGGATAGCTACTTAAATTTTTAATTATAACAAAATTATCACAAGAATAAAGTATAAACAATTTTACTGAATAAAATACAACAAATCTAACACTTAAATTTACTGAGTATTTTTTAGTATAAGTTTAATTTATTTTGTATACTCATATATTATTATTATGGATATATTTTTWAAAAAAACACTAACATTTCAAAGCTTTAACCTCACAATATTAAAGGTAAACGTCTTTTTTTTTACTGCCAATTCGTCCAATACTTGCTTACTTTCAAATTTCAATGCGATCCTTCCGATTTATTGATWACATGGTTAATCCATTTAGCCTTTTCTAAATAAAATAATTATTAGAGGGGAATGATAACAAACTTGACGTATCTTCTAATTCAGACGTAATACATGAAGAAATGTCCTGCTTTGAATTAGTTCATAAAAGATGAAATAGATGTTTGTTTCTTTTGTGTCATTTTAACTGTTTTAAAAGTACAGTAACATCATTAAACAATCTTTAATTTTATATTAAATTAATTAATTAAACTATTTTTTTACATATTATAGTTTGTAGTTTCATACGAGTACTTAAAGGCTTAAAACTAGAAAAATAAATTACCATAAATACGTAAATACGTAAATTTGACATACCTATTTACGACGTCGACAATCGGCAGCAGTTAAGCAGAAAATAAAATAGTACTTTGTG